TGTTTCCCCAGTGTGTCTCAGCCCAGCTGCCCCACATTACCTTGATTGTCACCCTTGTGTTTCTCCTCAGGTGTTTTGTGTTCAGTCATTAGTTTTCTGTGTATTTAAGCCCTGTCTTGTCTCTGTCTTTTGTCGGATCATTGTTTGTTTTGGTTCTCTGTGCTTGTTCCTTGAGCTTTGTCTCCCTCGTGCCTGTGATCTTCTGAAGTTGTAAGTTTGCTGCCATCAGCCCTCTTTTTTATTTAAATAAACCTTTTTGTTACATTTTTGAAACCTGCCTGCGCCCTGGGTCTGTCCCGTCACCAAACCTGTTACTCAGTTTGCGTGGCCGATTTTAAAACATCATTCATCTCCACAGACAATGTTCGTAGGCCTTTAACAGCCTTTGTAAATGATCCATCAGTGTCAATGTTTCCAGGAATAAAAGTACAACAAGAAGACCCAAAAAATGAACACACGCCGCCTTGTTCTGCCAATAAATAGTCTAATGCAATGCGATTCTGATAAGCCATTAAAGATGTTGCTGCTAATTGCTCGTGTGTACTCTGAAAAGCATCCCTTGTTAAATTATTAAGCCTCTGCAAAGAAAAATGTGTGAAATTAAGACGATCCACGTTTTTATTCAAAGTAACCCACGGTAAAATGCTTTCAAAACCAGCTGCCGCCTGATCGATCAATTTAAACTCAGTAGGAACGCCTCTTGGTACTCCAATTGCATCAATGTACACTGGACTGTTTGCATAGTATATATCAAACTCACGTTTAACCCTGTTCAAGTTAACAACCTGCTTATCCAAGAGAGCCCGATGTTCCTGTAATTCATCTATTGTGATATTTACAAACCTGACCGGCGAGACGAGGAACACTTCCACACACAGCCCACTCCAACCTGCTGGTAACACTTTTAACAAATGATTATTGCCACAATACCAAAATACATCTGCCCTAGACACATTTAAATTATTGCATTCTCCCACAAGGATACGTCTATCACCTTTTTGCACCATGTCATATTCAACTGTCCAACTATGGAGGACATAACTATCATTATTGGAAATAAATATATAACTGGCTTATTAAAATAAATTATGGGGTCAAAAGGAAGTTTGACAAATAAATGATTGTGCCGTTAAATCAATTAGATCAATTATTTCGGTATAAATG